TAGGGCGGGGGTCTGGGCGTGGTCTGGGGCACAGGGCTTGCGCCAGGCGGCGTGGCCGCGGGACCGTGTCCCGGGCTCTGCCGGCTGTGGGAGCGCCTCAGACCCGATTCCTTCCTGGGAAGCCATCTGGTCCTCGGGCTCTTGTCCCCCTTATCGAGCGTCCTCGAGACAGGGGACAGCAGGGCTGACTCCGTACTCGTCCGTGCGTCCTCCTGTGCGAAAGCCCAACTCGGAGCTGTGAGCGGCGACCGTGACGTTGATGCCTTGTGGGTCCAGCTGCGGTGGGAGGGGCAGTGACGGGAGAAGTAAACATGGAGACGTGCAGGACCGGGGCAGCAGGGGTGCTGGGGTGTCCCTACTGTGGGTTGTCCGGGCGAGGGAGGACAGAGGCCACGCAGACATCTGGGGTGGGTGGCACAAGGCGGGGAGTCCAGCACGCACGGATCGGACTTGGGGCGAGTGCTTGGCAGAGGTGGATGCAGACGAGGCGGGTGTGCTGCACTACTTGTCATGAGGTCAGGTGGGACTGCATGCTGTGTGTTCAGGTGAGCTGTGTGTGTGAGTTCAGATGGGACTGCATGTCGTGAGGTCAGGTAGGCCGTGTCATGAGAATCAGGTGGGCTGTGTGTCATGAGGTCAGGTGGAACTGCATGCTGTAAATTCAGGTGGGCTTCGAGTTGTGAGGTCAGGTGGTGCTGTGTGTCATGAGATCAGGTGGGCTGTGTGCTATGAGTTCAGGTGGGCTTCTAGTCACGTGGCCAGATCGGGTGTGTCATGAGGTCAGGTGGGCTACATGTCAAGAGGTCAGGGGGTGTGTCATGAGGTGAGGTGGGTTGCATGCTGTGAATTCAAGTCGTGAGGTCAGGTGGGCTACATGTCAAGAGGTCAGATGAGGGGTGTGTCATGAGGTCAAGTTTTGCATACTATGAGTTCATGTGGGCTGCATGTCGTGAGATCCGGTGAGCTATGTGTCGTGAGATCAGATAGGCTGCATGTCCTGAGGTCAGGTGGGCTGCACGCTGGAGGTCAAGAGGGGCTGTGTGTGAAAGCCTCCCCCTCTGGCTCCCTCTTGACCTTGAGGAATAGGGACCAAGAGGTGGCGCTCTGAGTCCAGTGGAAGGGTGGAAGGGCCAGGTTATGTGAGAGGAGATGGATGAGGGCAGCTGCTGAGAGTCAGTGCTTTTGGTGGGGGGGGCGGATTCTGAGGACAGCTGTGGTGTCTGCCAGACCCTCCCCCCCCGGAAAGCAAATGTGAGGCTGTGGGATGCAGGAATGGGATGGGAGTGTGGGAGTCCTTGGCTTATAACCTCTGGAGCTGGATGGTCAAGAGAGGGATTTCCACGGATGCCCTCATGGAGAAGTCCAGAGTCTGGGAGAAGCCACGGGGTCAGGGGAGTGTGCAGGGTTGAGCCATGGCAGCAGTCCGGTGGGGGGAGGCCTGAGTCAGTGGCTGGGAGGACCTGAGGTCAGCTGGGTCTCCAGAGGTCTTGGCCAGCACAAGGTGGATGCATTGTTGGGTGGAAAATTGATCGTGGGCCAGGCTCGGTGGCTCAGCCTGTCATCCCAGCACTTTGTGAAGCCAAGGTAAGTGGATTGCCCATGCCCGCGCGTTCGAGATCAGCCTGGGCAACTTGGCAAGACCTCGTCTCTACAATAAGTCGAAAATTAGCCGGGCATGGTAGCACACGCCTGTAGTTCTGGCTACTTGGAAGGCTGAGGCAGAAGGATCGCTGAAGCCCAGCAGCTCAATGCTAGGGTAGCTGTGAGCATGCCACTGCACTCCAGCCTGGGTGACAGAGTGAGACTCCTACTCAAAAAAAAGAAAAAGAAAAAGAAAAATGGATCATGGTGGGTTCAAGGGCAGAGGGTAGAGAGCAGAAGCATGAATATAGATGACATTTCAAGGCGTTTTTCTGCAAAGGAAATCAACAGAATGGGGCTCTGGCTGCAGGACCTGAGGATGAGGCTTTCTGTTTGAGTGGGCACTTCAGTGGCCCCCATGGGGCTGCAAGGGTAGCCCTGTGGCGGGGAGATTGACCATGTTGGAGAAGGGGAAGGGTTGCCTGGGGCATGGGACCCAGGGCCAGGTGGGCAGCTAGTCCTCCACAGCAGGCTGCACAGCTCTTCTAGGTCAGGGGAGGAAGGCTGCTGAAGCAGGGGGAAGGGGTGAGTGGTATCCCAGAAGGAGGGTGGGAGCAAGGTGCTGCTGCTGGGGACAGCAAGAGAGTAATGAGCAGGCCAGAAGCAGCCTAAGCTGAGGGCAGTGGCCCAGGCAAAGGAGGAGCAAGTGCACTGCTGGGAAAGCCACAGTGCAGAATTAATTCACTCCAGACTTGGGTCCCTTCTCGCAGAAGGCATAGACCCAACATGTGGGCTGCCTGCCACTCTCCTGGATGACTTTGTTACACCAGTAATACCCCAGACTGTGACCCCGAACCCTGGGTTCCTTTGTCCACTGCATTTCTGCAGAGACGTCTTTAGGGAGCTCCCCCACACGGCATAATGGTGATTCCTGGTTCTTCAGAATCTGCTGTTCCCCCAGGGCCCCCTGCCAGCATTAAGGCCAAAACCAGGCAGGAGTCCTTCTCCGTACCCTCTTCCTCATGGCCACACTGGCCATCAGTTACCCATCAGAATCTGGTCACACCTCCTCCCTCCCCCAGGTCCAAACCATCCACTCTTCCTGAATTAGCCAGTGGCCTTCAAACTGGTATCCCTGCTTCTTTTCCTGGTCCCCAAATCTATTTTCAACAAAAAATAGCGACTCTCCTAAAACACTGTCAGGGCATGTCCCTTCTCTGCTCCTACAGGGGACCAAGAAACCTGGGATGCTGAAAGTGTGTTGCCTTGGTGTAAGTTCACAGTGTACAAGTGTGTCCAAACTCATGTAAGTGCACATGTTACATACGTGCATGCCTTCCTCAGCAGAGTTGTAAAGACAGAAGGAATCAGAAATCATGGCACACATGGACTGCCGGAGAGGGGAGGCCTTCCCTGGGGCACTGGCCCGCTGCCTGCCTGCCCAACTACTGCCTCCTACAGGCCCCTCTTGGGTCTTTCCAGCCACTCACACTCACTAGCCCCACTCTTTGCCCTGTATACCTCTGCTTGTCTTCATAGCTCGACGTCCCGAAATTGCTGTCTCCAGTTTCCCTCCCCTAGTTCTCTCTTAAACCCATCTCTGTTGCCCCATCCCCACTGCTACAAAATGCTCTGGTCCAGACCACCCAGGACCTTGTGGGCTAAGTCCAGTGGCCACTGTCACCTCCATGACCTTGGCAGCATTAGACTGCCCACCACACTCCTGTTTCCTGCTGTCCACCTGGCACCTTCCCAGACCCTGCGGTTGTTCTCTGTGTGACCTCTGCCGAGGCTGGAGACCCTGCAGTACATACGGATGCCTCCTTCTGGAACAGAGGACAGCTCTGGGCTCCCTCAGACTTGCTTTCTCCCATTGTCCCTGTCTCAGTCAATGGCGATTCCATCCTCTCTGCTACCGAGGCTGGGGCTTTTGGATGTGTTTCTGACTCCTCTTTCTCTCTTTCTGCATCCATTCATCGAGGTCCTGCTAGCTCTGCCTTTAAAACATGCCACAGTTCAACACAGCTCTCCAAAGCTGCCTGGCCTGAGCATGCCCTAGCCTGCTGGCCTGCTGCCACTGCTTTGGACCCACCCCCCACCCTGAGTCTATCCTGAACAGAGCAGCCAAGGCCCAGGGGCATCCCACTTGTGCATAATGTCCTCTGAGGTCCGGCCTTGTGTCAACCCCTGCTCCCACCTCTGGCCTGATCTCGGGCTGCTCCCCAGCTCACTCCCTGGGACTGCAGCTCTCCTGGACACCCCTAGACCTGCCAGTGCTGCCTTCAAAGCTGTGGGCGCTGCTTCCAGGCCTGGGTGGCTTGTCCCTGATGCCGCGTGGTTCCACTTTTTCTCAGTCTGTGCTCAGCTATCTCCTTGCCACTGAGGCCTCTCCTGACCCATCTATTGACAAAACCCCCAGAAAACTTACCTTGTTGGCAAGACCGTCAGGAAACAGGACTCTTGTATGTCATTGGTGGGAATGGAGGGGGCGTTTGACTATCTCCAGCAAAGCCACCCAGGCATTTCTTCTTTGGCCCAGCAACCCCCATGCAAGAATGTGTTCCCAAGATACACTGGCAAGAATGCAAAAAACAAACAAACAAAAAAACTATGATCAAGGCCACTAATTGTAGCATAATTAGAATACAGAAAACCAAAGATTCCATAGGCCCATCCACGTGTGATTAATCAGATACACAACTGGACCGCCACATTTTGGGTAACTTGAAACTGAAAAAGAAGTGACAGGTGCCACCACAAGCTGCTACAGTGACCTCCAGTAACAGTATCCAGGACATGTTAACATGGGCAAGGTGGAGAAAAGAGTGCATGGTTGCTCTCATTCACCCAGAGGAGGCCTGCAGAATGGTCTATGTACATTCCCACGGATTCTGGAAAGACCATGCAGGAGCAGGAATTTTGTGTCTCCCCAAATTCCCTTGTGAAACACAGAACAACAAAACAGCAGAACAAAGCACAGGTGGGCAGCGCTACTGGAGGCCCAGTGGCAGGTGGAGGCAGAGCTCTGAGCCTCTCCCTCGTGCTGTCAGCACAAGTGTGGGGGCTTGAGTTTACCCTCCCACCTGAGGCAGCTGACACACTGGGCAAAATCCATCAAATAGGGATTTTCACACACTGGACATCAGCAGCCACAGGCCATGATTCCCGAGAGGGATGAACAGAGGGGT